CCAGACCCCCACACCCCCCTCCCAGACCCCCACAACCCCCCTCAGTGTAATAAGTAAAGCTCAGGGTTTTGTTTGTTAATCAAATCTTGCTTGTGTAAGGCAGATGGAAAGCCCCTGAATTGCTTTGGCCTTGGGAACCCAAGGAAATATATCTTGTTTGGGCATTCAAGGATGAGAAGCCTGCAGAAATATAACTACCTGGTGCTTATAATGCATAAAGCAGAGTGTAATGCATAAAGCAGTGAGGGTCGTCCTCTGGGAACAAAGAAGAAGAGGAAAAACTTCAAAAGCAGCACTAACACCCAGACACAGGGTACCTCAGGAGTGTCACATATGCTGAAACTTGAGAAGATATAAAATGGGACTTGTGAAGGGGTAATTTGGCGTGCCATTTGTTTTTTTTTTCAAAGCAATACCCTTGAGGCCGCCCAGCACTGGTTTGCTTACTGCTGCTTGCTCAATAAACCAATTTAAATAATTGGCGAGTTCCTGTCAATTCTTTTGGAACGCAATTTATAACACAAACAAAAAAGCTTATTGCAATAAAGCTCTTCCCAAAAGGCCACTGGAGATTCAGCCTGGTTCTGGTGCAACACTGGTGTGGCTTGCAGTGGGTTTGGATTAAACACTGTGTGTGAAACAGCAGCAGGAGGATCTGGGCAACAAACAGTATCTGGGAGCCAGCTCCAGACATCACCTGCAGTGACAAATTCCCAGATTTCCTGGGACTGGGTCACATCAGGTTTCTTCTACAGCTGGGGACCTGCTCGGGGGCTCCAGCCCTGCCAGGGGTATTTAGAAAGCAGGAACCCCACTGCCAAAGCTGCTGGCAAGGCCAGGAGGCAGCTCCAGCACCAGCCAGGAGAGGAGTCATCCACCACACGAGTTCTCAAGGGCTTCAGTGTCCGTTGCCACTGAGTCAGGATGGCATCTCTGGCCCCACTCCACTTGCCCCGTCCCATGAGTCGGTACTGGTAGGGAGTGCAGGGGCCAAAGAAGATGGCCAGAGCCAGGCGGGGGTCTGTCAGGAGCAGCCTCAGCACGCTGGGCTTTACACCAGCGCACGAAGCGATTTCATCAGTGTAGCCGATAAAACTCATCTTCAAGTTCTCCTCCTCGGATGGATTCCTTCAATGCGGAGTGAAAAAGACAGAAATCGAATAGCATCATCCCACTTCAGTTCCCAGCTTCACAGAAATCAAAAGCTCTGGGCTTGGACAAGCCACCACATTGCAGGAAACAGACATCCTCTGAGGACATGTCCCAACCTCCCATAAAATCCTAGGGCCAAGAAGACAAGGCTTTAGCTGTCACATCCGTGATTAACAAGTTCCAGCCTTGTCTTAAAGCTCATCTTGACCTGCCAAAAATTGCCACCAAACTGCCTCCCACCAGCAGAGCCCCATTCCAGTAGGGTTTCTGGATCAGGCTTAGTCCTGGCCCCAGCACTCTGCCACCGGGGTTGAGGAGGGAAAAGCCACGAGATGGCACCCTTAGTCTGGAGGAAACCAAACCTCCATCTTGACATTCTTGGAATGAGGGCATAGCTTGGAGGCCTGGCAGAAAGTGCCTGCAGGTCCTGGGTCTTGCTGTAAGGTGCTCCAGAACACCATGACCCTAGTGTCTTGGTTCATCACCCACTAAGGAGCCACAATAGTATTTTCCCACCTCACTAGGGCTGTTGAAGGAATAAATATACTCAAGAACTTGAGCTGGGTGTTGTGGAAGGGCCCCTCCAGGGTTACCCTTTCCCTGAGGTTATCATGGCAGGCACACACTTCAGGACACACCTTTTGACTGGCGGCTTCTTCTTCAAAACATCAGCAATCATCCTGCTGGCAGGAGGGAGCTTGTTCCAGCCTGAGAAGAACCAAGAAACCAGGAACCTCCAGCAGCACCCTTAGCTGAGAAGTTTGTCCCTTTCTCCCCGCTTCTGTGCTCCCAGCCCCTTTACTAAGAGCTGCTGGTCATGGCAGCATGGATGCAGTTGAGAAGCAGATACAAAGGTGCTACTAATAGCCGTGGTCCCCATGGGCATGATGGCAGGAGCCAAAATATGTCCTGGGCTCCATGGACAGCAGACAGGCTTGCCCCAAACCTCCCACTCCAGCATCTCCCCCCCATACCTTCACCCTCTCTCCCACCTGCAAAGATCCCTGTCACCCAGCGAGCCTGCATTTCTGTTCCCACCATCAAAGAGCCGGTCAGCTGGATCAAGCCGAGGATGGCCAGCGTTGGCTTTTCCAGCTGGGGAGGGAAGATGCATTTATAGAGGGAACGGTTGTCATCAAAGAGACTGCGAACTGACTCCTCGAGGAAGGGAAAGGAGAAGATGTAGCCCGTGGCAAAGAGCACTACGTCAATGTTTTCTTCGGTTGTCCCATCTTCAAAAAGAGCGGAACTTTCAGTGAACTCCTTCACACGTGGCTTCAACATGACGGTCCCAGAGAGGAGGCAAAATGGCAGCTCTTCATTGATAATGAACTTAAATTTGGAGCTTGCAAGTAGAAAAGAGAAGGATAGCAATGTTAGCCTCTGAGAGGGACCCAAAATATCTTTTGTGGACAGAGTTTCCTTCCAAGGGTTAGCTATTCTACAAATATCTTTGGAAATTAAAATCTCAGTATTTAATGCCATTAAATCCCCCTGACCAACCAACAAAACAGTCAGGAAAAAACACCTTTTGGTGGAAGCCAAGCCGTAGTTTGCATGGTTAAACCATGAATTGAGCCTCCGAAACTTGATCCTCTTTGTGAGTGCTGAGGGCAGAAGCCAGTCGAGAAAGTGGTTGAAGCGAGTGGTGTTGACCATGTCGAAGGGGAAGCCATGGTCTGAGACCCGGCTGAACACCCATGTGCTGCTCCTGGCACTGAGGAACACCTGGGGGAGAAGGCAGGTCTCAGCCTCCTGCCCAGGCATCTTATTGCCAGTTTTGCCCTGAATGGCAAAGCCCATGTCCTGTACTTGGGAACCAAGAAGGTTATCCTGAAGGAAGGAGAGGGCATCTGGATAAACCAAACAGCTTGTGGTGGCTTCTGCAAAGTTCCCACAGCTGCTGAACGGCCACTCCCAAATTCTCCAGGAACTGCAGAGCTTCTTCAATCGCCCTCAATTTGAAGTGCTCTTTAATGAGAAGCCTGGGCAAAGCTTCTTGCATGTACCCTGAGCTGCTGGCTACTCCAGCACCCAGCTGGGCTTGGCACCACCATGGAGCTCTACCTTTGCAGCCACATGGCTCAGCTCCACGGAGAGGTCACCACCCGTGTTGCCAATGCCAACCACGAGGACCCGCTTTCCCCGGAAAGCCTCCATGTCTCTGTATTCCCGGCTGTGGAGGTACTGGCCTTTGAAGTGGGTCTTGATACCTAGGAAGAGATCAGGGAGCACTTCCTACCACCAGATCCATTTGCTTGCCCCAACCTCAAGCCCAGACACTGCCTCTCCTTGCAGCTGAGAAGCCTGTGGAGGTCTTGGCTCCCTGGGTGATGCCACCCTCCCACATCTCCTCATCCTGGTCCTGCTTTGCAAATTCTTATGTAAAAGCCTGGCTGCATCTTTACAAAGTCTTTTTGCCATTCCCAGCAATGCCCATGGCTGTTCCCATGGGGTGAGGGTGATGTCTGCCCCAGCATGGGGGCTTCACAGAGCACGCAAAGCAAAATGCAGCTGAGGAACCCATGGGTGCTGAGGGGCAGCCCCAGCCCATAACACTGCTGAGGCAGGGCTTACCTGGGAAAGAAGTCAATGGCAAGTAGGGCTCCTGGTAATGGCCGGTGCAAACTATGACGGCATCAAAGACGTGTGACTCCTTGACACCATTGGCCTCTGTGACCACCTCCCACTGTCCTGAGGTGGCAAAATCTGGGCGTTTCCTTACACTGAGAACTGTTGTCTGACAGCAAAGCCCAACAAAACAGAATCAGTGTTCAGAAAGAATCTGCCTGCAAAGGGTCAGGGGGCAGGCTCAGTCTTCAGGGAGCTGCATGTGACCTCTGAAGCTGTTAAATCCCACTCCATACCTTTCACCTGGTGATGGCATTGAAAGGGGAGTTGCACCAGGCAGCCCGTGTTAGAGCAGCCCGATTTAAAACACGGAGCCAAAAAGGCTCTACTCGGGGTGCAAAAGGCACATGGTCCTCGTGGAATCACAGTAGCATTGTGCCATCCCACCTGGGTGATGCCCTGGTGCAGCCACTGGTGGCTCTTGTCCCCATGGCATTTGGGATCCCTGCTCACCTTAAAGCGTATATGCCGCAGGAGGTTGAAGTGCTGGGCGTACATCCGAAAGTACTCCATGAGGAGGCTGTGGGGCAGGTAACTGGGAAAATCCTCTGGGAAGGGGAAGTCACTGAAGCAGGACATCTCCTTGGAGGTGTTGGTGATGACTGAGCGGTACACGCTGATCCTCCCGCTGTCCACGGAGTCCTGTGTGAAGCCAGCGGTGCCATTTGCAGGTATGTGGGGAAGGCCTATCTCCCCACAAAGTATCTGTGTATTTTTCCCCCTTGTATTCCAGTGCAAAGAATAAAATAGGACTAGCACCTGGTGAACATGGTGTCTGCTCTCTCCATCTCCTTCTCCACCTTGGAGTTGGGAGGAGTCCTGTGCCTGGGACAGACACAGTCCCCAACAGCATGGCCACCCTTTCCTCTTTGCTGCAGACACAGGGCATCCAAGGGAGGGGACAAACCCAGGGCCAATCCTCCCCACACAGGCAGAGCCCACTAACCGTGTAGCGCCAGAGGCCCCCAATGTCCTCACTCCTCTCGAAGCAGGTGGGCTCCAGCCCCTCCTCCAGGCAGCACTTGATGGAGGCCAACCCACCAACCCCGGCCCCGATAACAGCCACACGCCGCACCATGCTGTCCTCCAGCAGGCAACGCACAGGCCTGTGAGCAAGCAGCTGGAAGTAAAACAGCCCAGGGATTAGCAAAACACCAGTTCCTTCTTCCCATCCCCAGGAGAACACCCCTTGTCTTCTCTGGCTGCAGGAGCCCTGGAGGAGAACCATCCTTGGAGAAAACCATTGCCAGCTCCTGGCTTGAATGCTGTGGACAGACAGTGCTCATTACCCTTCCTGCTGTGTGAAGCCCACACCCAGAGCCCAGCCATTCCCCTTCTGCAAAGGGGGCACTTTGAAACCTCCTTGCAACACTGCTTCTATTTATTCCCTTCCCTGGCCCAAACCAGGGTGTGCACTGAAGTGTAAGGGGCTCACAGCCACCTGTTTCTGCCTGTGCAAAGCCATCCTCCTGAAACCTTTTCAAGATGCAGTTTCAGCTAAACTGGCTTGTTTTCAGACTTTTATTTTTCATTTCCCATTAAATGGCATTCTCTCAAAAGCAGAAGGTTGTTTTTGTTTTGTTTTTAAAAAACACCCAATACCTGACTGAGCAGGAGCACTGTGCAGAGATTCAGAAGTTAGTGTGACAGTGTGGCTGGGATTGTGACAGTGTGGCTGGGATGACAGAATATACAACAGGTAAGAAACCCAGGAAACGCAGTGTAGAAATGGGAGGAACTCAGAATTCGGTGTGTGTAATCTGAGCTGCACTGAGCTTGACTGGAAAGATAAGAAACCAGAAAAAAATTAAAATAAAAATGAACCCTCCTGAATTTTGATTAGATTACAGTCTCTCCTACTGCAGAGTCTGAAGAGAGTAATTTATAACCTGTTTTCAACTCATTTTTGTGTCAAAAGAGTATGTTAACTTAAACGAAGTGGAGCAACCATCAAGCTGTGCAGGGCAAAGCGAGAGGCCCGCAAAACACACCCTCCCTCTCCCGCATCCAAAAGCCAGTTGCTCCCAGTTTGAGCCACTCCCTAAAGTGCAGAAACAGGGCAGGACACACTGACGCTCACCGACCCCCCTGTTTGCAGAAGCCCTCCTCGGCTTTGGAAAGCGATCGATGTGCCCGAGGCGATAGTCTCCTCTCTTTTCCAGCGCTACCTACAGACACCTTTGGTCCTGAGGGTCTCCGCGACCCCCCTGCTCCCCCCACCACCAGCAAGGGGAAGCTGATGGCAAACACCAAAGCCCCCGAGCGCTGGCTGCCCGCTTGTGAAGCCTGCAAACCCCCGCCAGAGAGAAACGAGGAGCAAACCTTGGTGGGGTAGTGCCGTGCCTTCCCTGCTCAGGCTTCGGTCGGACTTCGCTTTGCCTTCCTCCAGCAGCAGGTTTAAAGGAAAGGCTGAAGTCCGGGCAGCTCCCCGCGGCTCTTGCACCACTGACCTTTACACCCACGCTGCCCTGCTCTGCTCAGCTGTGCCAGCAGAAGTTTTCAACGTCCTCGTGGCAGCACCGGGTAGAAATCCGGGCTGTAAACCCAAGAATACCATGCTTGCAAGGACTTCCACATTCGCCTCTGCTCCAGGAACAGCTTGGGGTTCTCCTGATCCATCACACCCCCCCGCCCCCCGTGTGCTGCCTGTGCCAGGCATGTGCTCACTTGCCATATCTCTGAAATCAGCAAAACACACTCCCTGTGCCTGTATGCCAACAGATAGCGTGAGCAAGGAACGTGGTGCGTAGGACAGCCTGATTTTTGGTGGCCAACAGAAGCCCTCACAGCCCCAGGCTTGTGGAATGTACCTACTGGCATAGCCCCAGTCCAGGCATGGGACCTCTCTGTTCTTGCTGTGTACACAAGGAGATGACAAGGCAGCAGCCTGAAGCACACTCCCACCACAGCCAAGGAAATTTTATTGATTGAAAGACTCTCCATGTACAAAGCAAAGGCCCGGGATTGCTGAGAAGCAGAGCCAGGAATACTCAGCCCCAAGGGAGTATCAGTCTCAGTCACATGAGTGACAGATCAGCACAGTTGGGGGCCCTGCTCTGGAAAGATGCACCAATTCATCCCAAACTGGGATTGTTTGTTCATAGGGTTTAAGGTTAGAAGAAAGGATAACCTGACCTGCGCACACAGTTCAGATAACTCCTTGCTGGACTAAAGACCCCAAATCCCAGCTGATCTGGGGCAAGATTGGGCTCCTTGTGCTCCTTTCTAACTGCGACACCCAAGGCTAGTATTGCTGGTCTTGTTCCTGCTGCCTTCTGGCCAGTATGGTCCAGGCAGGGCCATGGCACACAGCTGTGTTCTGCTCAGGGCAGAAGAATAAATGCTGGAGAAAAGCTGCCATCCTCGGCCAATAAGATCTGCAAAGCCGTGCTCAAAGGTGAGCTGGAGCAGAAAGAGATTTGTGCTGCTGGTTATAGTTGTAAATTTGCAGTTGTCTCCTGAAATTCCCATTATCCCTATCCTGTGGCACCCTGTGGAACTGTCTGACCTAGGGTAACAGCCCCAGAGACAAGAAAAAAAAACCTGAACGGGTTATAAAATCTACTGGAAACCAAAAAACAGAGCAGCCAAGAGCAGGAGGAACCCCACCACAGTCAGGAGAGAAGGCCAGGGGCTGCAGGAACCAGCAGGGACTCTTGTTCTCGTGGGCTTCAGGGTACGGTCCCACTGGGTGAGGATGGCTTGACGTGCCCCCTCCCAGCACCCAGGACCCCCCAGCCGGTACTGGTAAGGGGTGCAGGGACCAAAGAAAATTGTGAGGGCCAGTCGGGGGTCTCTGCAGAGGAGCCCCAGAACACTGGGCTTGGCACCAATGAAGGAGGCGAGCTCGTCTGTGTAGACTATGCAGTCGGTTTTGAGGACTTCGTCATAGGACAGACCGAACCTTAGTAAATTGGAGAAGATAAAAAGAGGTGGGAGAAGGACTGGTGTCAGCAGGGCTGAGATGAACTGGAGGTCATCTCCCCCTCCAGCCCACCTCCAAACTCCTAGGGATTTTCAATCCACTGAAAAACCTTTGGGGCTCTGGGGACTGGCTTACCTTTTCACTTGGTTTTTCTTCTTTTCGTTTACTTCCTTCTCCATGACAGACTGAGGAGGCAACTGACACAAGCCTGGAAAAGAGAAGGGCATCCTGCAGAGGTTAACTCCTGAGGAAATTCATTCAGCCATGTAAAACATGGGAAGACCCTTTCCTTGGGAGGGCAGAAAATCTCACTGTTGGATTAGCTTGGTTGTGGCAATTTCCCAGAGACCAGCCCTCCACAGTGGTACAAATTCCTCCACACTTTTTCCTGCCCTTACAGATTTGAGCTGTCAGGGCACAGGCAGATGATGTGAGGCTAGGGGAGCTGTTCAAACTCCAGAGCTGCTCCAGCTCTGTGGAGGAGCCTCAATGCAGCCTTCCACAGCAGCCCAGTGCAAGGCTTATATTTTTTATTAAAAAAACCTGCCAAAATCCACCAGTTTCTCTCCTCACCCTAATAATTCTAAATAATTCCTTGTGTGGGGCAATGGGACTTCTCTTCTCTGGTAGTCATGGTGGACAAACCACCCTGTCCCTCAAAGAGCAGTGAATTCTGCCAGGATGGGTCCACTACAGTATCTTAAAGACAACTCTTATCTGTGCATCCAGGTTTACATGTCCATCTCTGTGCTCTGACTTCTGGAATATTTTAGAAAGAAAATACTATCTTGAACAACCTAGTTGAGACCGTGGTGTACAGGCTCTGGTGTGGAACTGCACATCAGCTGAGCCACAGCAAGGAACTAAGCACATGCTCTCCACTTGCCTCAGTTGCAGAATATGAACATGAGCTTCACAGCATCGACTTAATGGGCAAAAAAAGAATAAGTGATGTAAGGTAGATGTCATGGACTTGCATGTAGCTTGGACTAATCATACAGTCACATCGCTGTAGCTTAGCTGAAGTGAAATAACTTGGGAAGTCTGGGCCCTAAAAATGCTCCCTTGACAACCTGGGGTCCCCAAGGACTGAAATGCCTCTTGATGCATGGAGGGGACAAGGTACCTCCAGTTTTAATTGCATTTTGGTGCATGGTAGAGCTCACGTTAGCTCTCTCACCTTTGAAGACATGGGTCACCCAGCGTGCTTGCATCTCTGTCACAGGCATGATGGCTCCTAATGGTCTGATCAGCCCAAGGATGGCCAGGGTGGGCCTCTGCAGGTGGGTTGGGAACACGTATTTGTAGAGGGATGCGTGCTTGTTTTCCACCTTGACAACTTCTTCTTCTAGGAATGGGAAGGAAACGTTGTAGCCTGTGCAGAAGACAACAATATCGACAGGCTCCTCCTCAGGGCAATTATGGTAGACAACTGAGGTGTCCTTGAACTCCTTCACGCCCGGTTTTATGGTGATCCTCCCTGTCAGGATGTAGCTTGGAAGGTCATCATTCAGCACAGGCTCCCGTACCAGGCAGCTGCAGGGAGTGGAGAAGCTCTGAGCATTGAAGACCACAAACAAGCCCTGCTAGTGCCCCTGCTCCTCCTTCCCCTGAGCCCTCATGCCCCATGACCTCCCAGTGTCATTTGCTCTAAGCTAACAGCCCAACCTCTCCCCCTCTCCAAATACTGACATGTTTCACCCTTGCAGCAATGTAACCCTGTCCCACAGCCTGAGTGACTTATGGACATCTCCTACCTTCTTCCTCTATGGTTCTTTGAATCATCTCTTTTCAGAGCTGATCCATGCTTTAAGCCTCCCTCCTTTTTTTCCAAGTAAGCTCCTGAGGAAAACTCCTCTGGTCTTTCCTGGGCATTTCCAGCATGCTGTATCTCACAACCACCTAAAGGGGGCTACAGTTTATCTTCACCTGCTGGCCTATAAATTCCCCACTGGAGATCACTCAAATCTGGGTGCTCTTTGCTGTATTATTGATCCTAGTTGCTGGAGATCTCTCCCCCCTTCCCACAGCACAAGCCCCCTGACATCACATGGGATGGGAATGACCAAGAAGTACCTCTTTTCTGGTTGAAGGCCATAGTTTTCATGATTGAACCGCTGGTTCACCTTGTAGTTGACCAGCCCCCTTGAAAGGAGTCCAGGAAGGCTGTTTCTGACCAAGCTCATAAGGCGAGTGTTGAAAACCATGTCCCATGGGTAGCCGTGGTCAAACACGCGGCTGAGCACCCAGGCGCCTCGGCTGGTGCTAATGGTCACCTGGGAGAGGGCAGAGGGCTTGGGTGATCAATTTGCTGCTTTGCCTTTATCAAGTAACCCCAGAGAGACTCTGCACAGAGACACACAATCAAAAAGCAGCAACAGCATCATTAAGGCCTCCCAGCAGCTGGTGATGGAGAACAGAAAAGAAAAACAAGAAGAACTACCCTTTCTCTCAGAGTAGGTTTTAGACCAAGAAATCCAGGCTCAGAAATACTGTTTGAACACCATGCAACATACACTTAGCTTGCTCTCCCTGCAGTGATGGCAAGCTGAGCTATTGCCCCCCAGCATCACACCCCCCACATCTCTGGGTGGTGGCACCTTTGTAGCTACACGGCTGGCCTCCACTGCGATGTCCACTCCGGAATTGCCCATGCCAACCACGAGGACACGCTTCCCCTGGAACACATCAGGATGCTTGTACTGCCGGCTGTGAAAGTACTGGCCTTGGAATCTCTCAATGCCTGGAGGAAAAAGAAACAAAGCTTTTATTACTTGAACATTCATGGGTTTAGTTGGGAGAGCTGGTGTAGAAGCGATCCAGATGGCAAGAGCAAGGAAATGCAATCAGGGGCCGCTGGGGACTTGGGGTGGTCCAGCCCTCCATCCCATGCACACAGACTTAGTTCTTACTCTCCAAAATGGGGTAGTACACATGCCTGCAAGGCAGAAAGCAGGGACACGTGTACTGGGTGGGACTTGGAAGACAGTTACATGCATGAGCTGTGCTGGTGCAGTCTTGGGATTCAGCCTCTACAAGATGGGGATACAGAGGTTCAGAAAAGCCTGCAGACCTCCTGTCCTACAAGTGGCTTCAGACACAAATGATAACGCTGATGACATGGCAACCTTCTTTCTGCTGATGACTGGGAAGATTCATCACAGCAGTGATGAATACAGCCCTGTCAAAGATGGAGCTTCATTGAGAGGACCTTGTCCCATCTCACATACTCTGTGGATAGTTTTTCTGAGGCTGAACCATCCTGCCTTGGAAGTCAGCTCTGAAGTGACCAGGGCCTGCAAAAACAAGGCTGCTGAAGCACAAGGATGCATTGCTGTTCATGCCAGAAGGCTTGAAAAGTGGAAGCAAGAAAGGAAGGAAGCATTTTCTCTGGGGAATTGCTAATCCTTTTTCTCCCCCAGCCCCTGGAAGCAGGTAACCTCAGGCAGCCGCATACCATACCAGGAAAGCAGTGCAAGGGGAGGGAAGGCTCGTAGAAATTTCCACTGCAAACCATAACAGCATCGAAGATGTGCAGTGTTTGTTTCCCATCCTTCTCTGTAACCACATCCCACTGGCCTGTGGTGGCAAAGTCGGAGCATTTCCGGATGCTGACAACAGTGATCTGAAGTGTGGAAGCCAAGAAGAGTCACCACCAGCACCCAGAGTGCATGGAGAGAGCAGGGCAGCCCTGGGGCACCCACCACTCACCCCAAACTTAATGTGCTCTTGGAGCCTGAAGTGCTCAGCATAGCGCCGGAGATAATCCAGGAGTCGAGCATTGGGCAGGAACACTGGGAAATCCTCAGGGTAGGGAACGTCAGAGAATGCAGACATCTACTTCGAGGTGTTGCTGATGACAGACGGGT